TTAATAAGATGTGCTTTTTACTTTATCAATATTGAGTTGTAATTAGCAATCCACTCTGTTTGTGAAATTATAACGGCCTTATGCGCAAACCTAACACAAAAATTAGTTCACAATGTTTATTCTTTCGCATTTCATCGAGTTTAGCTGTGATATAAAATTATTTTTAGGAATCTAAACGACTTTATTTTCAAATTTTGTCCATACGTGGTTCATGGAAAGTGGGCCCTCAACATTCCGGGCTTTAATTTTTTCTATTTAACTTGTTATTGGACAGTCTCAGGGGTAATGGAATTTTTCATGGTTGGCAATGCCAAATGTTGCTGCTCTTCGTATTTCTTCCCAGTATTAAAACGCCGTAACGTTCAATCTTAACCAGAATGAATATTCTCTTCAGAATTAATCTACTTTATTATTTTATTTACATGTAGTCTGAATATGCTAAAAAAGTTGTCGTTTGTCCCTTCTATCTACCTTTGGCTATAACAGAGTAGTAATAACCGACCACGTAATTAAATCACCTAATAAACAAATTCTGAGCATCGTGAGTGTGATTTCGTCAACTTCGATTTACAATTTTACTCTTTTAATACGAATTACTTGCTAAAATTCTAGATCGATGAGTTAAGTCTGCGTTATAGTACCTTAGTAGGATACTTCACTGCATTCTTTTTACCAGGAAATGAGAGTATACTCAAACATCAATCATCCCCCAACCTATTGAATTTGGTACTCATTGCTATTTGCTTAATAGTAGTCACAAACTTGCTCCAGGTGTATGTCAGTTCAAAGTAGAAATAGATTTTAATTGAGATGATAATAGACTGGTCAAAGCTTTCTTAAAGCTTTTTGACATTTGCAAAATTAAAGCGGAGCTCAAAAGATTTAAGTGTTATGCCCTTTCTCTAGTTAAATTTAACTACGCAATTATGATTGACAGGACGTGTGGGATTGTGTGCTTGAAAGATATTTTCGTTGCATCTTTCATTTATGTTACCGACTTCTAACAGTAAGTGTTATTTAGACTAACTTGCTTTTCTGCACTTATTGAGATTGGCTCAATAAAACGCACCTTCAGCTCTGTAGCTGCAGAACTTGAGTAATTTCTATCCATTTGAGTTTCTGAAGGTCGAATTGTTGGGTGGAGAATTAATGCGAGATGAATCGATTGTTGGATCTTAAATAGCGTGTATTGCGAAATACGTAACCAATGTATGGTGCTTATTGATTGGCTGTCATGGTTAGGTATGGCTTTCGATATATTATTTTCCTAGCTAAATAATAGCCCCAATGATTTCGGCCTAATAGCTCAATGGAATAAAGACTAATGATGCTATCTATATTCTAGGCCTTGCCGAACAGTTAAACTCCCGCGTTTGGTTGCCACCTAAACAACGTGGTCTCATAAAAGCGGCAGCTGAAGGTGGGTGCTCGATCTGCAAGCGCCTGGTTGCCATTTCCACCACCACAGCCGCCGATGCAAAAGTTCACGTTGTGGATATGAACAACCTCAATCCACGGGCCGTCCTTTCCAAGCTACATCCTCTCAATCAGCCCATAATTGCATGGAAACCCTCGGGTTGGATGTATAATCCGCAGAAGAAACTCACTGAAGGAAACGCAAGACGTTTACCATGCTCCAGAGAGACGCTGACTCGTCTTAAGGAATGCGTTTCAGTGGAGATGATTGTTGGAAGCGTCTTTGTTTTCGGTAGGCTACCTAGTTATTTGATTTGTGAATATTAGGTAAATGGGCGAATGGTAAAACTGTCAAGTTAAAATGCTATTAAAATACCTTTTATATCTTTTCCCTTGGCGAAATTTACATCTCATCTTCCCTATATTATTAAAATAGCGCTTATTTCTCAAATTGTTTGTATGAACACATAAGAAATAGAACTTACTGTGCATAATTCTTTAGCTGACTTCGGGCTTCACAGAGGAGGGAGGAACATCAAAGTGAGAAAATTCGTGAGGGGTAAAAGAAGAGTGATTCACAGATGTAAAATAGACAGACAGACATAAAGGCAGAGAAAAGTTAAGATGGATACTGTGGAAGTGGTCGAATATGACATACAGTGGGGTGATGGTAGTTTGAAGTCAGAAGTCAACTGCCGATTAATAGACTTTTTGACATATTATATTCGAATATGGCATAGAGTGAGGTGATGGTAGTTTGAGAGGTCGAATATGACATACAGTGGGGTGATGGTAGTTTGAAGGATGTCGAATATGACATACAGTGGGGTGATGGTAGTTTGAAGTTTCGAATATGACATACAGTGGGGTGATGGTAGTTTGAAGTGGAAGTAGACGAATATGACATACAGTGGGGTGATGGTAGTTTGAAGTCAACTGCCGGTTAATAGATTTTTTGCCGTATGGGTCTGTTGCCCAAATATGACATACAGTGGGGTCATGGTAGTTTGAAGTCAGAGGTCAACTGCCGGTTTATAGACTTTTTGCCGTGTTAGGGTTAGATCAACTGCCGGTTTATAGACTTTTTTGCCGTATGCGCATACACAATGACATACAGTGGGGTGATGGTAGTTTGAAGTGAGAAGTTGTGACATATAGTGGGGTGAGGGTAGTTTGAAGTCAGAAGTCCACTGCCGGTTTATAGACTTTTTGCCGTATGAGTATACTTTGTAACATACAGTGGGGTCATGGTAGTTTGAAGTCAGAAGTCAAGATGTCAACTGCCGATTAATAGACTTTTTTGCCGTATGAGAAGTGATAAGTCAACTGCCGGTTAATAGACTTTTTTGCCGTATGAGTGGGTTGCCCAGGGTGCACCGCGTGGAGGTAAGTCTATCGCAACAACTGCCGGTTAATAGACTTTTTTGCCGTATGAGTATACGGTGCCCAGGGTGCACCACGTGGAGGTAAGTCTAAATATACATTGCCCAGGGTGCACCACGGAGGTAAGTCTATTGCACACCCCATGATACCTATCATAACGCCTGCCATTTGAAAGTACGTTGTCCAGGGTGCACCACGTGGAGGTAAGTCTATCGTATTCTTAAGAATAATTGTTTAGAAAACCAGCAAGGGTTGAAAGTTGCCCAGGGTGCACCACGTGGAGGTAAGTCTATCGCACGCTGTCCAGGGTGCACCACGTGGAGGTAAGTCTATCGCACACACCCCTCCGCTTCCAAATAAGATGTTGATAGTGAAGGCATATTTCCAGGGTGCACCACGTGGAGGTAAGTCTATCGCACACCCACTTGGCTCTCCCCTCAAATTTCAACCCTACACGGATGGGCGTGTTAGAAATCATAATGTTTGTTAAAGATGGCATATAACCACTAATGTTTGCTGTTTCATTACAGTAATTAATGCTGTTCCACTTCATTGTCCCTCTACTGTGATGTGTCTTCAATTTTTTTGTTATGTCAGTTTGGATAAAATATGCTTTTACAAATCATAATGTGATCTTCATAAACGGTATATCTGATTATGTTCACATTATAAAAATTTAAACCCCCTATCAAATGTTATGCATGCATAATTCATAACTCAAGCTCATTTGAAAAAGGAGTTGTTAGCAATCGCCTTGGGTAGAGATGTAGGTGTGCCTTCATAAATCGGCATTGGTAAGTGGCTCAAATTCTGCCACCTTGGTTAGACTGACTTATTTGATGTCGGCACTTAGCGAAACTTGTGCACTTGTCTCTAACCACACCTATAGCCTAAATTTAAATCGTCATTGGGATATGATCTACTGAGAATACTGATGAATTCGGAATTCAACGGCTATGCGAACTTTGATGCCATGACTTAATTATCTCTTTCATCTTGAGTCTCCTCCTCTTCTCTGGCCTTTATTGTACTTTCTTACTACTCATCGTCTTCAGGTGCAAATACTAATGCATTGAAAATGAATTGCTCCCTGTCTTTCGGGCTCATTTTGCCCACCCATATTAGTTGTTCCTCTTCTTTACTTTGAAGGCCATAACCTCTGGTTAAAAGACAGTGTAGTTTCTCCCTTTGGCAGCTATTTTTTTAATGCCACGTTAGTATACAGCGTATCGCTTTGGCTCGATGATGAATTTGTGTTTTTTTCTTTTGAGGAAGTATAGTAGGTAGACTCTGTGAATTTTTTTCTTTTCAGTTTTTCAGGTATTTTTTGGAGTATATTCGGTTGTTTACCATCATTAGCTATCAGGTTATTTGCACCAATAAATACATTAAACGCACACTTTCCTTAACATGACCTAACATTGTCGTTATGTAAGTTTGAAATCAGTTTTAAGATGGAGTGGTAGTGTTTACACTGTCTTATACTATCGGCATTGCAATTTGCTTATGTAATAAAGTAATAATGAACGCTATGAGCCATTCACCTTTAACACGATTTGGCGCATCCTAACCAGTATTTATGAAAATGGGTATCGATGGATCCCATTTTGTTTCACCCACCTTGAGTTTCTCTTAGTTTTATTTATTTATTTTATCTTTTCAACAAAAGGGTCGGCCCTTTTATTCTATTCAATAGAAGTACGTAGCGCTGGACTTATTATGGAATAGTACATACAAGCTATTCCATTAGTTGGAAGATTGCTTGTTGGATTTTCTCTATGCTTCATAAATGAGACATGAGGTGCGACAAGACGCTTCATTGTTTTACTGATTAGAGACTGAAAATGACAATGTTGCGAACCAATTAGCTACCGTACTTATTACTATGAGCCTCTCATTGCAATAGATTTTCGATATTTTCCATTCATCGATTAATGAGTTAGTGCTTTTTACAACTGTTTGTGTTCTTGCAGGTGCTGCCTACAGTGAACACAGTAGCTTTGATGAACTGAAGGAATTTGTGACGAAACTTCGACCTCTCCGAGTTCAACAGACTGTTTTCGGTGGTAAAGCGAAGGACACAGCCAAATACGTCAATGAATGGCTGCGTTTGGGTTGAGCGAAGTAGAAAGAGGAGATTGAATGCCTTATCTGTATTAGATTACATTTTAATTATTGTGCATAATATACTACTTTTATATATAATCACAAGTGGCCTCTTTTTTTACTTTGGATGTGTGGTCATCTTTGAAGAAATCATTTGAAAGCTACAGAGTGGCTAATGCCAGTGCACGATACCCTTAAACTTGTGTCAAAAGTTCTCATTTAAGAAAACGTTCACAACTTGGTCAGGAAGAAGATATTCTGGAGCCATTCTGGTAAGGAGCTCACGTCTTATCCTTCTTCCTACAGACGATAGTTAACCGGTGCTTTTGGTCATCCATATCACTGGATGTTTAACGATGAACTGCCATATCGTGATTGGTAATTTGGAGAAGAACCTGCTGAACTTGAAACTGGGTCATTTGCTGTCGTCAATTCTTTCATTTTCTGGATTTCTTATAGGAAACACTTCCTTCTTAATTAATAATGATTTTCAAGACTATCAAGTTGGAGTATGGGAGACTCTTCGAGAAGTTGTTTTATAGGACTGCTGGCTATTTGTCAATGACTTCAAATTTGGACCGTTTGCATAATCGGCGTTTGTTGTTCTTTGAAATACCTTCAAAACGGACTTAAATATTTATAATTTTGCCTAATTAATGATTTTACTTAAAACGCACGTATTAGTAATGAAACTTGGAA